AGTATGTCTGGAGTTGTTTCTGCATCTTCTAATCTGTTCCACTGGTCCTCAGGTCTGTTTCTTTGCCAGTACCATGCTGTTTTTAATCACAGTAGCTTTGTAGTATAGTTTCAAGTTGGGGATTGTGATACCCCCTGCCATGTCTCTGTTGCCTAGAATTGCTTTAAGCATTTTTAAAATTTTCATGGTGAATTATAACTCAAGTGACTTCCAGGAGAAGTAAAATTTTTAATATACATTAGTGAAGAATATATCACAGTCCTTGATAAGAGTGTGGAAAAAATTAATATTGTGCAAAACCACATTGTTTTAATTTTCTTTATTATGATATTATCTTTTTATATCTATCTCTATTTTGTATTTTAAAAGCAATCTTCAAAACTTACTACACATGATTTTAGCCAAAAGGCTGAGAAGCAATGCAATCTTCAAAAGTTTTCACACATTATTTCATAAACATCATTTCTGTGGTGCTATTTCTCCTCTCTTTTTTTGGCTCCAGTGACACAACTGTTAGACCTTTTGATATTGTCCTAAAGGACCCTAGATACTCTCCTGTTTTATTTATATTATTATTTTTATTTCTTTCTGTTTATAAAATTTCTTTTGAACTATCTTTAGGTTTAGTGAATTTTTTGTCATCTTCACTTTACTTTTGAGCTCATCTGCTGAATTTTAAATTTTAGATAAATTAATCTTTCTTCATAAGATTTTCATTTAGTTGTTAATTTGTTTATTTCCAGAGAATTTGTCTTCATTTTGTGGAGGATGTTTAAAATATTTGCTTTGATTTCACTTGAGATCAAGGTTTGTATCTCTTGGTATATTTCCCTTAAGGAAATGGTCTGATTTCTTTCTTCTTTTTATGTCAAGAAATTAAGATGATATTCTGGTATTTTGACTATTTTGTTATGTTAGCATGGAGCTTTTTACTCTGAAGAATATAGCCTTTTTTCTCATTGTTTTGTTTTGGAAGGAAATTATTCATTTTAGTAAAGGGCCGAAAGATCTGCCCTTTTTCCTGTGAGATTCCAATGTCAGTTCAGTTTTCAAAATTTTTCCATGTTGTCTGTGTTTGTCCAGTCAGGCAGCACTTATGCGTTGGCTCAGAACTGTGTACCTCTTTACACTGCATTCAGCTACCAGAGCCTTTGCTGTGCTTCTTTGATTCTGCTTAACACTGTGCAGTTTACAGGTGAACCCAGGACTCACACCTTTTCATTCATAATGTGTGGGGGCGCTGTTTCTACCTCTCTTTCTTTCTGGGATTTGTCCCACACTTTCTGTCTCCAAAGATCTTTTTCTTATTAGTGCTTCTGGCCAGCAGAATATTTTTACTTAGTTTTAGTAATCCATGATGCCAAGTAGTTTGATATCTTCAATGTGAACCTTTGAAGAAAACAAAGGCAAAAATAATGTATGATTGCTTTACGTGTTTTGGACAACAGATGCCCCTTTCCAGTTTCTCTGGCTATAGAGTTTTAGCTGAGGGTTTCACATGCCTTAACCTTCACCACAATGGATGAGCAGCTTTAGCAGTGGATCCAGATGGAGCAAAACAAGAGTTAGGAAAGTATAAGAAAAATAAAGGAAATGAAAATGGAAATGATGTACTTCCCAGCATACACAGTCTGTGCACAGGATATGCATTAACCTGTGCAGAAATGGGAAGTTTCTCTTGGAATATTTCTAGTCAACTCCTGCTGCATCATTCTGGGGCTTAGTCTAGAAGGTCAAAGAAAGATGACTAAACAAAGTCACCCTCATTAATCTTTAACCAAGTTTTAAACTTTCTTCTCAACATTTTTTTAAATTTTCACAGTAATTTGTTTCTTTTTATTTTGTGCAGAATTTTTTAATGTTGTCAATGAGAGAAACAGTTTTTAGTGAAAGTCCCCAGAACCTATAATTTTAATTATCCACTACAAATAGACTCAATAATTAATAAA